GCAAGCAAGATGTGAGGGCAGATGGTGAAAACAGTTAAGAGCTGACTTGGAAGTACACAGCTGACTGCATTGACCCTGCTCCCTGTAGAATTCTGTGGCTCTCTTCTTCTAACAGAAGAAAATCTTCTTTCCCATTAGGAAACAATTTTTGTTATTCTGTAATAGTCCAAGACTAGACCTTCAAGGTGTTTTCTTATCTAATATTCAAGATTGCTGTCATAAGGCTGGGGGCATGTCTGGTAGGGTGGTTCATGTGATGTAAAGGATCAAAAGTATCAGAAGGAAGTTGAACTGTTGAGCACAGAGCATGTCTGGGCACTTCAATTCCAGCACTGCATCAGTATCTCTCCTGCACTCTGACCTTATTTACCAAAAGCAGATGTTTGGCAGATTTTCCATGACATGCCAACCTCTGAAACTGCATCTGACACATGATACAACCAGGAAGGATCTGCAGAGCTGTGCTGCAGATCTGCAGAGCTGTATGAGATATGCAGCAGTGAGGGTGGGGAAGCAAAGTGCAAGCTGAGAACCAACAGCAGAAGTCTCATGGCTCAGCACATAAAACTTCACAAGTGTAAAGGACACTTCATTAAATGGCACTTGGTACAAGCCACTGCTGCAAGAGTCATATAAAGAACTTGATTCCTAAACTGGCAGCTCAGGTCTCTTATCTAACCCTCTTCATACCCATGCACTGAGCTATTGGCAACCACACGTTAAAGGAAGAATGTACTCTGTAAACACTCATTGGTAGCAGTATTGCCTGCTTGCTGTTCTCGTCACATTTCTGGGCAGGAAAGGTAAAATTCTTTTCAACCGGCAGATATTTTGATTTTTACTTTTTTACAAATTTTACTTCACTCCTCTGTCAAGCAATATGAAGTCTAGTGTTCAAAGTGTTTTCCTAATGAGTTACTAATCATCTTAACTCTTTCTTTGAAGCTGTCAGCGTTATATCACTCCTATTTAAATTCTAAGCCTCCAAAACTGCTTTACTACTTAAAAAGCATTTGAATCAACATGATATTTAAAAGACCCTCCTCTCACAAATTTTAAAGAACTGATAATTTTCACTTTCTCACGCAGAGCTAGGGATTACAGTCTCATACTCTACCTGTATTTGCTCCTTCAGCTTCTGGGAATGCTTCTTCCTCTCATTTATCTTCTGACTTTTCTCCTCTAGGTCTGCTTCCAGCTTCTTTACCTGCTGCAGCAATAAACCTTTTTCAGACTCTGAGCTCTTATTTTGCTCTGTTTCTCTTTGTGGACAGTTTGTTTCTATCACAGATTGCTGCATGGCTTTTTTCAAAGTCTCTTTTCCCGTCTCACAAGGGGCTTGCAGTTTTCTTGTTTTCTGAGTATACTCTTCAGTTGTTTTCTGGTTCTTGCTCTTCAGGTTTTCCATTTCCTTTATTACAGTGTGTCTTTCCACACTACATTTTTCATCTAAATTTACTTCTTTATCTAGATTTTTTAGCAGTCCATCAAACTCCTGATTTAAATGTAGAAGTTTGTTTTCAAAGTCTGCATTGGTATCTACTATGTCTGTAGAAAGGCCTACCTGTGCTTGTTTCACTTCTGTTCTTGACTCCTTCTCTTCTGCTTGCTTTTTACACAATACTAACTCTGCTAAGGCTTCTTCCTTCAATCTCTTGTGTTGTGCTACAGCAATTTCAAGGGCCTGAATATGCTTTCTCAGTAATTGTTCTTCTTCAACTTTGCTTTTACACTGAAGAATTGTTTCTCTTGTCTCAGCAAGAATATTCTGAATTTCTTTCTCATGAGCCTCTCTCAGAGCCTGTATACTGTCCTCATGTTCATCATTCTTAGTGTTCAAGGCATATATCACCTATCAAACAAGAAAAATAGAAAAGTAAAGTATCTCGTGAACAGTAGCCATTAATCCAGTTACTGTATTTATCAAAGTGTTAAACACTAAAAGAGAATTACTGCTATAGATTAATTTTTTTTTTCTGGTGGTGGCTCTTCGTGTTGTTTGGGTTTGTTTTTTCCCACCAGGAACAGAAGGGACAGTTATAAACTGCAAAACCTTATAAAAAAGGAAGACAATACTGTGATAAACAATAATTTTTTTCACTTTTTGTCAGGAATTTCTTTTATTCTAGGTAAGTTGTCATTTCTAATATGAAGAAGGATGCTGGGTCCCTTCTCTAGCTAAGTGACTCTTTATTTGAAGCCCAGTACATCTGACCTTCAGTGCAGCAGGACTACTAAAGGCCACATTGTCTTTAGCATGACAAAG